TTTTCATTGTGGTTATGTATTTTTTTCCCCAACACATGACATGTTATACTGCAGTGATTCCAAACTCCAGACATTCAAACGCCAATCACATTGTTTTGTCATAACTGTCTGCTGCTTGTAATATTATTTATTTACTTAGAAATTTTTTTTCTTAAATTGACTTTTTAAGACTTAGATACATACATTTTTAAACTAAGCTTTAAAATACCTATTTCAAAAACATCATCACTTGCCCTAAATAGAAGGTATTCTTAAAGACAAATACCATAAAAATGAAACAGTATTATTAAATTCTGGATAAAACCACTGCCTGTAAAGACCTTGGGCTTGAGTTTCGTTTTTGTTTTTTGTTTTTTGTTTTGTTTTGTTTTGTTTTGTTGGTTTATCATTGTTGTTTTTAAAAGGGGAAGTTAGCAAGTGTTAGACACCAAAGACAGATTTGTACCAAACTGAGACTTTTTACTTGGTAAATTCAAGACAGAAAGAGAATTGGAAATGGAACCACTTCCACACTTACGTGCCCTGTCTTTGACCATCGGTGTTCTAGCGCCCATTTTGAACAGTGATGATGCTAGAAAGAGTGCAGAAGACGGGGAGACTGGATTTGAGATCCATTTGCAAGCACCTAATTTGCTTCATTAAACAAGTTACTTGTCTACCCACCGCTGCTGCTCTGACTCTCAGAGATATATTTTTATGTGAAATGGTTTACCTTTACCATCATTTATTTTCCAGACTTTCATTCAATTAACAGAATATTTTGAGCACGTACCAGGAGTTAAAGCATGGCGCCTCCAGCCATGAAGAAGCATCTGTGTCCTCACGAAGTTTCTGATCTTTGCTTCTCTCCTTAGCACTCTTCCCCTTTTAACACTACAGTGAAACAAATACCTAGCTTATTTATTTCAAAAGGATTCATAAAGCTAAAGATCAGGGCAGGTTAAAGGATATTTGGATCTTTAGCTTTTCAAAAAGCCCCACTCCTCCCAAACCCCGCACAACTGTTAGGATTGCGGTGGCAGTTTCCGCGAAGCCCACTAGAGGGCGCGCACATTTTTTGATTCCGAAGGAAAGCGCGTTTGTGGGTATTGCCCCTGAAGTTTTTGGAGTTGGTGTCTCCTTTCGCCACTTTCTGTCCAAGTGGGGGGCCATTGTGGTGAGCCCTCAGGTTCTCTCACTCCACCAAACCATCCTCGCCCCATGCAGTGACTCCTCGTCTGCCATTACGAAGAATTCTTTTGCTCCCAAAACCACAGCAGTTTTGCTTCTGACTGCTTTCAGTATTTGCCCTTTTGACATTTTAGAAGAAATAAGATCCAAGTTTGATGTTGAAAAAGAAAGCATTGATTTCTTTAGCGAGAGGATTTCTTCCCCCTATTACTGTTTTCCCTAGCTGTGGTGAAAATGCACCTCTACGGATTTAAACCAGCTCCTTTGAGCTAAAGAAGATCTTTCTGAGGAAAAACAGAGCTCCTTGTGAGCTGATCTTTCGAAGCTGACATTAGTCCCCTTGTTCGGCAGCATGTTGTATTTTTGAGGTCCGGCCTTTTCCTCTGAGTTTTACATTCTGAATTGAAAAGCTCTTGATCTCAAACATTGGAGAATACACTCCCAGACCAGCCCTCCCCACAAACCATGATCCAAGACACATGTCCAATAGTTTCCCCAAGTCCTTCGCCTAGTGGGTGGCCCTAGAACCTTAGGCCTCACCCTTTACTTGGTTCCAAAGTCTTCCTACCTCTAAATAACCATTCCGAGCTTTTCTTGGGAGTCAGCAAAAAACATTAATAAAATAAACTGTAAATATGCCCTATTGCACATGGATATAAAATTACCTTTTGGATGAGCTCCTCAGTAGTTGGCACAAGGAAGATTGGGAACGTGGCTTGAGCAGAAAGAATGGGGACTTCGCCTTGCCCACCCCTTTCTGTGAGTCTCAATCTACCTCCCCTTTGAGGAGATCAACAATTTTTTTTTTTAAGAAAGGTGTCAGAAGTCTGAGGCGGCAGCTTTATGCAAATGCGCTACTCGAGACTTAAAGTAGAGTTATTTATATCCTATAGGCATTACACATGCAAAAGGTGAAACTGTGACTCTCTGAATTTCCAGGAGTGGATGTTCTCATGATGAGCAGCACATCCTTGCAGTTAGCTATTTTGGTGGCACACAATTCCCATGTCTAACCGTCAGCTCGTTCCCAGCAGGAGACTACATGATCCTTAAGTAATTTTAGAATGACCCCACGTGTGTCCCTCCAACAGGACTTCATGACCTAAACTATTCCTGGGGGTTAGATTTACTACCACCTTAGATTCCTAGTAATAGGCACATTCATTTCTTTTTCTCCTAAACAGGCACCGTGCTCGGCCATTAAAAGGTAATCACGTGGCACATTTATTGCCTTCCACTTTTGTGTTGACTGGAACTAGCAAAGAAACTGGCCATTTCTCTAGGAATTATTGCCCTGTTCTGTGGCTGGCTCACCCTACCCAGAAATATAGACCATTCTCTGCATCGAAATATACAATAATCACTGCAGCAAATTGCTTTCCCCGTTGGAAACTGAGAGCCCACATAGGAATGTCTCCACAGCACAGCTGATGATAATTACGACTCACTGAAATTTCAGTTTTCTTTGATTGTGACATAAAAACTGGGACATAAATTAAAACCCAATTATCCTTTAAGGGTAATTGGGGTTATAAAACCAAGAGACTATGAGTCAGTGTGTCGCTATCACAGGAGCACAGTGTCTGATGGCATGGTATGCGTTCTGTCTCCCAATGCAGCCTTTCACATGGTCAGGGATGAGGTGATCTGTGCCCAGGGCCAAGAGAGTACACCAGACTGGGTTACGGCCTTGGCGAAGTGCAGGGAGCTTCTGGGGCATCTTGGAGTGATTAAAATATGCTAAAAGTTCAATGGGAAAATCCTGGCCTTTACCTGCGAAGATGCCTAGCGGTGGAGCGAGGCGCTGGGTGACAAGACTCCAGCAGGTACCTGACGCAATGTACTTAGAAATGGCAGTTCTTTCTACCTGGGAGGTAGGTAGATAGGTGCAGCTCTACACTGTCAAAGCCCATGACAGGGGAATGGACTTTGTTTTTCCCAAAGGGCGTGATCCACAAAAGCAGCAGGAAAAAAAAGATTTTTTTTTTTTTGGTAAATCAAGTCATACGTTAAGTGCACGAAGGAGAGCTCATTAAAGGAAGTCTTGGATTTTTGTTTAGGTGCAAGAATTGCTCACACACCTGTAGACGCCTACCTGGCCACCTCTTGACGATGCCTATTTGTATACTTTTCAGGTCAAATCGTATCTACTGAAACTACCTGACTTTGCACCCAAAGCCTCTCATGATCAATCTGCATTCTGGATTTTCAAAAGGGTTTCACTTCCCTATCTTTCCAAAGAGTTTGTTACTCCCTCAAACTGTGCACTGTTCACATTTTTAAAAGCACACATAACCACCACAAGACAGTGATGTTTTCTTCTGTCTCTGCCACTCAGCTGAAACCCCCTGTGTGGCCTTGACCATGATGCAGGTAATTGGGCACATCGGAGGCATTCACTAAATGATGCTGAATTTGAGAACCATTGAAACGGCATCAATCCAGATTTCTAACTTTTCTTTCTGGAAGGCAAACCTTGCCACAAGTTATTAACCACATGGAAGATTTGACCAATCTTCCAAAACCAACCAGGTCTTCCTTTGAGGGCACTCACCTCTGCAAACAACTTCTGTCCACAGGATGACATAAAGATCCAGACTAGGGTTTCCAGCAGACCCCTGTTCTCAGCAGACAAGTCAGTATCATCGCGTCCCCTGAGAATTATGAGAGAGACGTGCAAGGTCCAGATTACTTCTACCTTCCCTGGGAAATTACGCCAGGATAGACATCTAGGGAAGGTAGGATGTCTGATCTGGGCTTTGACAACCTTATTTCACAATCTACTTTCTTATCTACTACCTCACGAAACCAAAGAAACATTGGTAGAAACTGCATTCACAAAAGATCAGAACTTGATTCTCAATGGCAATGGCAAGTGTACATTATAAATAGCAAAACAGCTGGCTTGGACCATGTTGCCGGCCACTCATCCAGTTGAGGGATTTGAATGACATCATAACCCTTGAGAGGGTATTGCTAGCCAGCTGGTGTTATTTAGAATATACAAACACTGGAGAAAGAAAACACACACACACACACACACACACACACACACACACACACACACACACACACACACACACACACACACACACACACACACACACACACACACACACACACACACACACACAGTTTCCAGTTATACAGAAAAATATGAACAATGAGAAAACAGTTTGCCACCCAGGTGCCCTTCCCCTGGGGGGTGATAGGCAACCTAGTAGAAGAAGGAAGAAAAAGATTTAATTTCATTTTTCCAAATGGCTTTACAGCTCAGCAAAGTCTTTGCCCTGTCGCGGGCAAAAAGCACGAGACAGTGTCCTAAAGGGAGCCAATTGCAATACTGCCTGCCCCTTTTCTAGATTCTAGGAAATGAGATCATTCCCTTCACTTGGCAACTAGGACAAGGGGTCACCCCAGCGCTCCCTTCCAATCTAGTTCACCCCAGCCATTTCAGGGTTAAAATCGTAGGGTTTGCTTGGGGTGGTGTTTTGCTCCTTTTTTTAATTTTGCATTTGCTCTAGGATATAAAATTGCTCCCCCCCCCACACACACACACACTCCGTGTATCTTCCTTTAATACTGATAAGGTGTATTAACAGATGTGTATGTTTTCGTGCCCAGGAGAAAGTTAATCAGAGAACAGATCCTCATTTTCTATGGCAGCCTCAGTATTTTAATGTCTGCTCACCCTGTCACTAACACGCATTCTTTTAAGGGAAAAAAATGCTTCTGTGCTCTAGTTTTAAAATGCAAAGGTATGATGTTATTTGTCACCATGCCCAAAAAAGTCCTTACTCGATAACTTTGCCAGAAGAGGGAGAGAGAGAGAAGGCAAATGTTCCCCCAGCTGTTTCCTGTCTACAGTGTCTGTGTTTTGTAGATAAATGTGAGGATTTTCTCTAAATCCCTCTTCTGTTTGCTAAATCTCACTGTCACTGCTAAATTCAGAGCAGATAGAGCCTGCGCAATGGAATAAAGTCCTCAAAATTGAAATGTGACATTGCTCTCAACATCTCCCATCTCTCTGGATTTCTTTTTGCCTCATTATTCCTGCTAACCAATTCATTTCCAGACTTTGCACTTCAGAAGCAATGGGAAAAATCAGCAGTCTTCCAACCCAATTATTTAAGTGCTGCTTTTGTGATTTCTTGAAGGTAAATATTTCTTACTCTTTGAAGTCATTGGGGAATTCTCTTTAAATTGTGTACTGTTTGCTTCTGCCTAGAAATGTTATTCACTTTAGAATTTTCATTGTTTCGGAACTGGGAGTTATTTATAAATTGCTGAATATGCAATTCTGTGGGATCTGAAAATATAGCTCCGGGAGATGGATGCCTTTGCACAGAAATATATATGAGTAGAAACTATTGCAAGGTACTTATGCTAAAGCCTCCACTTCTGCAGGGCTTCAGTGGTGTCATTAGGGAAGATGCCTTTAAATCCTGTCTGTGGTGAAGGGCTATAGAGTGTGGATATGAACTTTGGGATTTTTTGCAGGTGCAGATGTTTAATTTTAAGACCACGTTCGTATGTGTATGTGAGCGTGTGTGTGTGTGTGTGTATGTATGTGTGTCTGTAACTTGTCAGGACTTTTATTGCAAGGCATGCCACATACAAAGAGTTACATTTGAGATGATATTAAAGCTTTTAAATGTGATCTTTGGAGCCGAGGTCCCGGAACTCTCTGCACTTATGCCCAAAGAGTCAAAGTTGGAGTGAAGTTTAATTTGTTCTTCCGAAAGAGAACTTGACAACTCTTGCTGACCTCGCGTATTCATATAATTTAAACAAATGCATGCTGTATGTAGAAAGCGGAAACTTTCTAGCAACTGCTTGTCCAAGTTTTCTCGTTTAAAGAGGACTTTCACAGGCGAAGTTTGGACGTGGGGTTTTGTGTTGTAAAACTCTGCTTTTACACTTGGTGCTGTAAAGTCTCTTTAGGTGAATTTGGCTGCTGTTGTCAATGCACCGACTTCTCATTTCCAATCACTGGCCCTAGTTCAAACTTCCATTCTCAGCAAAATTATATCCTTCAAGACTTGTGTTTTTCCAATTTGCAAGCACTTTTAAGCCGCTGTCACTGGTTCCCCATGCAATTGCCTGAGGTCTCAATTCATAAAATGTCCCTGCCCCTTAGTACGGCATTCATTTGCTGCTTTCAAATACTCCACCACTGGTCTTAGTCCAGTAAGTGGCTTAGGAGTTAAGGATCCATCCTGGTCAGCCACCTGATTCTGCTGCCTTTGAGATGCCAAAACACATGCTGGCTACCTGGCTTTTAAAAGAAATGAAGTCAGTATACGTCAATACTATGTGTGGTCTGACAGCTGGGGGATTTGTCTCCTGAATTAGATGATCATTAAAGAGACTGTGGAGAGTGTTATATTTGCCTTAATTACGAGTTTGAAAAACTGTCTCCAAGTGAACTTTCCATGTGGTGTATGCTGAACTTTTCAGAAGTAGAGCTAGCAATGAGTTGTTACTTTTTCCTGTACTGGGAGCAGTTAAGTGCTTTGAGGGAGGTGCATGGTCTTTCAAATGTAATTCAGTGAGTAAAGGTGTCCTGCCTAGAGGCAGAACTCACAAGATGATTGTTCTCTGAATCTCAAGATATTTCCAAGTGTTTGACTCAGAGGGAAGAAGGTAGAGAGAGGACTGGAGCCTGGGTCACTGTTTGGGGAGGCTACAATAGGCTTACATACAATGGAAACTGGTAGCTTGATTGAAAGGAAAAGATTGACTCAAATCCCAGCTGTGCAATTTGTTCATTGTTTGAATGGACGAAAGGCAGTTTACCCAAGCTCAGAGCATACCTGCCTGGGTGTCCAAATGTAACTAGATGCTTTCACAAACCCCACCCACAAAGCAGCACATGTTTTTAAGTCCTCAGTTTTCTATTCACATCAGCCTCATAATACTCACCCTGACCTGCTGTAAAAGATCTGGACCAAACAAAAATGGTTACACCTACAGTGAGTATTTTCTTATGACTATTGCCCTCGAATTTTGCTGGGCATTTTCATCGTAGCCAGGCATCTGGAATCAATTGGTATTCCATTTATTTAAGATAAATAGAAAGGTCTTTTACATTTTGGACTTGTGAATGATTTTTGAGAACATGCTCTGATTTTTCTTTTTTTCTTGTCTCTTTCTGGTTCTTTCTTTCTCTCTATTATATCTTTTCTTTCTTTCTTTTCATTTCTTTTGTGTTTGGCAAAACGAAAGGCCAAGGAAATGATGAACATATGGAGCCACTTGTTTCAAACTTTTAACTCCTAAACAAGTTTGTTATTGTGTTCTTTGGGGGGAACATAATGTGATAAATTCTCTGATTCTCTGCGGGTGTACTGGACTGTTCCCTGGACTAAAGGAAAATCCACTAGAGGTTCTATCTTGTCCTAGAACTGTAAGTGCTGATATTTTCTGACAAAATAACTTAGAGGAATGAAAGAGAGAGAGAGAGAGAGAGAGAGAGAGAGAGAGAGAGAGAGAGAGAGAGAGAGAGAGAGAGAAAAAAAAAGAGAGAAAGAGAAAGAAGAAAGAAAGAAAAAGAAAGAAAGAAAGAAAGAAAGAAAGAAAGAAAGAAAGAAAGAAAGAAAGAAAGAAAGGAAGGAAGAAAGAAAGAAAGGAAGAAAGGAAGATTGTAAAAAATGAATCTTAAGTTCTTAAATGCGAGAGATGTATATGTGTTGCTGGGCTTAGATGTGTTACACTGGAAATAACTATTAGAAATATGATTTTGACATCTAATGAAGTTCTCAGTTCACTAAGGTTCTAAGTTGAGTGCCTTTTCCCCTGGATTTCATGAGAACTGCAAAACTTGAAGGCATTTACAATTGCAGGTGCTTGGCCTTCAGCATTACTATAAACTCGACAAGGAAGGGAGGAGTGGAGAAATAGGATTGATAGCACAGCATGCATTCTGGATCTGGCCTGTTGCCAGAGTTTGGAGTATGTTCTGTAAGAGCGATTATGAGTTTGCTCCTTTGAAAAGAGCAGTGAAGTCTAGTTGGGTTGGATTTGTTGAAGTTTCCACTGGAAATACTGAAGAGGAAACCCCCCACCAATTATTTTATAACTAGGAAAAATGAGGATTGGATGATAACTGGTTTCTAGCAGTCTTGGTGGTTTTGGCTACATGGGTTGGAGAGTTTCTATAGGGCTCCAATAGGGTCCTATTAAGAAAATAGAAGAAATGTTCACTTATGCTTTCACCTCCTCTTCTATTTTATGTCTGTTACTTATGATGATTTGCAAATAGAGGGTGCTTTTCATGGTCTACTGTTTTATAAGCATTAACTAAATATTTACGTTGTGTTAATGAGAGTCAGGGGCTTAGAGTTTCTTGGTTTTTTTGGTTTTTTGTTTTTTGTTTTTTTCCAATTGCTAAGCCGAACGTCTGGCCACAAAAATGGAAATCTTAATTAAAATGGGGGAACAAACTTTGCCACTGATGTAGAACCATCAGTTTGTGAGTTCATGAAGAGAAAGGAGGGTGGTAGAAAATAAATGACTGAGTCTGTTTCTCCAAAAGTGATGGGTTGAACGAAACTGCCATTCCTGGGAGGCTGCGGGGGGGAAAAAAAGGCTCTTTTTATGATGATAGCTTCTAGCATAACTCCATGACCCTTTTGATAGGGTGCCCCATTTTAACCTCCTGTCAGTGATTCTTCCAATGTTGCTGAAAGTAGATGCATCTAAGAAAGGTGAAGCTACTCACGTTGGGAGCCTTTCTGGAAGAAATCACATCTTTTTGTATCACACGTAGCAATATGGAAAAACTTAAGGATCACCTTAGCCTTGTTTCTACTACTTAGAGTGAGGATGGAGATGTGAGCCACAGGAATCCTGCTTCTGGCAGGGCTGCCGTTTGGCTGTCTGTCATTGGCTAAGTCAAGCCAACCAGGGGTCCCTTGGTATATTTCACTATAAAATTGATACAGTGACACATAAGCCCCTCCAAGAGATGAAGTCAGAATTCCTATGACTTAAAAAAAAAAGGGAGAGGGGGGTTGTAGATTTTGAGCTCTGTTCATGGAAGTCACTCTCTACACATGTGTTGATTTGATATTGAGCTCGACACAAAGGGCTTTAGAATGCAAGAAGAATAAGGTCTACTTAGCATGAGCCAATTTCATTCCTAAATCCTCACATTTTTCCTGTTTCTTATTTTTTACTTCTACTTGTGGTTGTGTTAACTGCTGATATCCCCCAGATGAGAAATCTGTGTCTTTGTCTCTCTTCTCTTCTCTTTTCTTCCCTTCCCATTTTCTTCTCTGCCCTATATTTCTCTCTCTCTCTCTCTCTCTCTCTCTCTCCCCAACCCCCACCGCCACATTAAGTAAAAAAAAAAGAAAAAGAAAAAGAAAAATCCTATAACAATATACAGTATTTTCACAAGTCCTTTTTTAGCCACAGTAAATTATCTTTAATCAGTAGCCGGGAGATGATGTTCTGGTTAATTTAATATTCTGGTCAATAATGAATGCATATGCCATCTGTGGATGGCCAATCTAGAGAATTTCAATTAATAAAGCATATTTGGCACCAATCTGGACTGAGCACAATTTAACCTTTGATAATTCAAAAGGTTCGCCAGGAACTCTGAGTGGTGTGGGATCCCACTGCAATAATAGCATCTTTCACATACATAGTAAATGTTTCAAGGTATTTTATCTCATTGAATTGTAACAGGAGCTCATAAAGAAGGGCTTCAGGGAAGACTTCTCCAAGAGGATTAAACACATGGCGTTTTATGCCAAGACACGCTCTGTCCACACCACCCTGTGGTCTCTTGTACATGCTGCTGTACTTCTGTGCAGGGCGGTACTGATTCATGACGGTGATGAATGCTGGGGGTAAATGCACCTGTGCCCCACCCCCACTTCCCTTGCAAGGACCAAGAAGGCAACATGACCTCCTTCTGTTTCTTCGGCAGGTGAAGATGCACATCATGTCCTCCTCGCATCTCTTCTACCTGGCCTTGTGCTTGCTCACCTTCACCAGCTCCGCCACGGCTGGACCGGAGACACTCTGCGGGGCTGAGCTGGTGGACGATCTTCAGTTCGTGTGTGGAGACAGGGGCTTTTATTTCAGTAAGTAGCCCTCCCTCTCACTGCTCTGTGGATTTACAACCGCAGGGAGTATGTGAATAACTGAACAACTGCCCGTGGCTGGCAGCCATCCTCAGCCTCTGAGATTCCTCACCTTAAAGTAAGACTAGTGTTTCAGTGGGGCTGTGACAGGTTTTGTAGATTTAGGATGGAATTTTCCTCCTTAGCAGTTTGTCTTTTAACTACTTCCTGCCAAGCTTTCCAGCAACTATTATGCTCTACCCTCACTATTCCACAAGGGTGGGACAAAATGGCCCTGGGGGATTGAGGTTTGTTGTTCTCAAAACCCTTGGGTGCACATATAAACACACAGAAGCATGTAGGCTTCTTTGAAGTGATAGGTAGTTTGGAGTAGAATAGTAAGGTAGACTCAGAAAAAATATTAAGGGGCCACATCCCAGATGTCTCCATGCAATAAGAAATCCCCAGAAATAGACAGAGGTGAACTTCCCTCAATGGCACATTTGCAAATACACAGGCTCTAGCTTAAATGCAATCAGAAATGTCGTATTAATTTGCCCTCTGTGCAAACTGACCTTGATTTTTTGTTATTGCCTTTCTTTGACGTAGCCCTTTTCTATGGCTTTCCAGTAATATCTCCATCTGGAAAAGGGTTTTTGACAAGTGTGGGGTTACTTATCCCACAAGGAGGTCTCAGGTGATTAAAAAATCGACAGTCAATAAAAGTAGACAGCCAAGTCAACGCTTGCAAATAATAAACACAAACAAAAGTCAGTGCTGCCTGAGAGAACTCATCACTTAAAGAATCTACCTCAGAGGCATCTCTCTCATTGTATATTACAGAACAGCGAAAGACTTAAAGCCAGATGCTCATTCTGTATAATTCTTTGGAATTTTAGAGAGTTCCAGGAAACTGACGCTCAGGTCCTCAGTGAGCATGAATCATTCTTAGAGGTTCATATCACTCAAGTGTAGACAGCTTACCTCAGTTACCCACTAAGTTTTGAATAGCTTCTGTGATGACTCACACACTTCAAGTCTCTCTCATCTTCTTCCCAGGGAAGGTGGTGTGTGTGTGTGTGTGTGTGTGTGTGTGTGTATGTGTGTGTGACTGGGGCAGGGGTCTATGTATAGCAATCTGGGATGGGTAGGGGGGATAGGAAGGAAAAGGCTGAAAAGGGAACTGATGATCTGTACTCATCATAGATTTGGCAACAAATAGCCTTTAAACAACTAGTGACAGAGAACGAGACATGCTTTCTACTATCTGAATGGGCAAATTCCCACTGTTTCCAGCCAATGCTTTAATTGAGCGAATTCATGTATTTTTCTGGCAATAAGGCAATTCTATCCAGTTCTCAGTAGCAGTGCAGCTGAATGAGTTCATCGGGCAGGTTCTTTTCAAATAGCAGACTTGTTTTACCTTTAAAATATCCTGTGAAAGGCAAATGTGTCACATCAACATCAGTTAACAATGGGTTGTCATTATTCTTTACTGTGCTGCTACTGATCCACATTTAAGAAATGAATAAGTTCTCATTTATTATGCCCAAGAGTATATTTTTTGCCTTGATAATCCATTTGTGCAATTTCCTGTGATCCAGTTCACTAAGTGATTGTCAAACCCACAGTGTCTTCTGTTATATGCCAGTTTGACTTTTCTTGTTCAACAAAATATGCTTCAGGATTTTCATGCATAGTACATGAAAACTGGATCCTTCCATGCCAAGATATTTGCCTTAGATGGTAAAAGAGAGAATGGAAAGAATTATTTGGTCCTAAGTAACCATACAATACATATATATGTTCACAATGACACTTGAGAGTATCGGACAACTATGATGGAAACCAACTTCAAGGCACTGAAAGGATTATTTTATTCTGTTACTGCAGTAATCAAATTTAACCAAATGCTTTTACATTGAAAAGGGCATAGTTATATATGGCAACTCTTGATGTTTAGAATATGACTTTGAATAAGAAGGGGTTTTATAAATTGTGTATTATTACTGTCAATATTGTCATTGAGAGTTTATGTTTCCTAAGTTTTGTCTTACAGAATTCCATGACTTATGTAATTCTTTCCTGACATAGACCCTCATGCACAAAAGTATTCTTGTTAACTTTCTAGTCAACTGTACAATCGTTTTTGCCCAAGAGAAGTTAGCCCCTTAAGATGTTTTAATTCAAAACACTGATGGAACATTTGCTACATGTATGATACTATACTAGTCGTCAATGAGATACCTAGAAATGAATGAGAGATTGACTTTGTCTTCAAGGAACTGACAGTCTAGTTGCTAATTAGGAGGTTAAAAAAAAAATGCACATTAGTATTGTCAAGTGTAATAAGAGAAAAATAATCACAGAAGAGTAGATAATAGTATTTATATAGTCTTTATGCTTTTCCTGAAATTTTTTGTCCCACTTTTGAAATCACCTAGCCAGAATCTACCCTCTCAATGGGCTCCTTGATGCCAAGTGCCATATTTATTCACCATTAAATCTCAATACATAGCTCAATGCCTGGCTGCTATAATAGTGGCTCATATTTGATTGTTTGACTGATAGAATTAAATTAAATTGAATCCAGTGGAATAAAATGGAATTACTAGTTTCCATTCTTAGTCTTCAGACCCATCAAGAATTAAGTTTGTCAACTATTTTGGGCAATTCTTCTCACCTCATATTTACCAAGCTATTTGATAAAAATGCTTGTTTGTTTGTTTGTTTAACTGAATATAACTAACAAATTTAACAAAACACCAATGGTCTGTTTTGTGTCTGAGTCAATTATTCTTACAAGCATTAACTGTTGTCAACAAATTTTATTGAGTTTCCTCTTTTCCCTCAGAGATTTACTGTGTGTGGAGAAGTCAGCTCTAAGCATTTACAGCTTTTGAAATACTTATTAGAAGAAAAGAGTCTTTTCCACCTCTAACCCCTGTCATTTGACTCTTATTATTATTTTCACTCTTATTTTCAAAGTTTTACTGTGGCCGTGCCTTTTATTTTAAGCTGCTTGAAATCCATTTTGAAGTATGGATTTTTTTTTTTAATAGTGAAAGGCATTTTCTGATCTTAGTTTGAAATTCAAACATCTAAAAGAAAATTGCCTAGATATCTATCTTTTTTGTTGGGCCAGAATGCTTAACAAGGAAAGTATTTTTATTTTAGCCCTAAATTGAATAAAATTATCTATTATGCTTATTATTTATAGATTGACCCAGTGTTGTAAATGAACTCAGATTTCTTTCTCTATAAGCCAAAATTCCACGAGAGCACAATAGAAGCAACCTTCTAGATATCTGTTTTGTGAGCATCATTCCAGCAAAAGTGAAACACTTCCTCCATAATTAATGCAGCTTCCCCAGATATTTTATGAAATGAAAGTTCCAATGAAGATCTAATTACTGATTCTTTCCTATGCATTATAGTAAGAGAGCGTATCGACCAGTCTTATGTGCTCACTGTCCTTTGAGAAAAATGGTGGCATCATAGAGATGAACATTGGGAAAGTGTTAGCTATTATCTTTCTAGATTGATAGGGCCTTCACAAAGGGTGGCTTGTTTTAACCTCGTTTTGTGTAAGACTGCAAGAGGAAAAGAGCTTCAAGTGAAATAGGAGAAGTAAGCTTGCTATTGATATAATTTTTGACAGCCATTAACCATTTTAATATGCGCCTCAAGGGCTTGTGGAATTTCTTTCCTTGGAGATACTTAAAATATTGACGGACAACCAGCCATCTTGGATGGTTTCAATTAAAAGCAACCAAAGAAAAGCAAGTTTCTGGGGTCCTTTTTAGTTTTAAGAGTCTATAAACAATCCCTTAAATAAATTGTATATGCTTACCTCGGCGGTCTGGGAAAAAGGAGAAGTAAATCAGTTAGAAAAGAAAGTTGGATACCCTTTTGGCTACTCTAGATTTATAGCTTTTATAAAACATACTTCCAATGCATAGTTATTAAGAACAGGTCTGAATAAACAAATGGCATTCTTTGTGTGTTAAAACATACTGTTTGTAGAGTTTAAGTGAAACTTTGCAATGAATTTCATTGTTATTGATTGAAACAACCTTCCTAGATCTAGGTTATTATTATTAATTCAAGCTTCTTTCATTTGAAATATAGTGCTCAGAAAACTGCTCCCAGACCTGTCATTTATTAGCTATATGACTTTGGCAAACATTTCAACTTCCTGGGCTGAAATGTTCTTGTCTATAAAACAAGGAGATTTTGTTAAAGTAAATGACCTCTTCTAACTTTAACAGACTCACAGTGTAGGTTGTAGCTGACAGGACTTGGTGCTATTCAAGAAAGGAGAACCTTGGATTTAAGTAGTGACCAAAAAACTTAATCTCTTTATCTTCTTTACATAGTTTCTGTCAGCCTCCAAAGATAGGAGATTATGCTTACTTAAAGAAAGAGGAGCCAGTTTCTTTGTTTTGTTTTAAGTTGGGTTGAAGCCTATCATGATGAAATATGCATATGTCATTTGGCCAAAGGAGCAGACGCCTCATGAAAACAGATTGCCATTTTTTAATTTTTTTGCTAAAAAAGACCAACTGACAGTTTTCATCTTTACTATGTTGGACATGAGGACAAGTGAGTAGGTCAGTTTTTAGCTATCCTTTATTAAAGGGGACAAATAAGAATGTATAGCTTTTTAAATCTTGACCAAAAGCCTTTTCTAATACTGCATTTCCAATTAAAGAAGAGACTGTACAATTTGGGGCATTCAGAGATAATAACCCACTATTATTAGCATTGCTTTGAGTAGGGCTGGATTCGAACTGCACCATTGGCATTTTTTGGCTTGGTACCTCTTAGACCACCAGCCATGCATTTGTATGAAACCTGGTCAAAGTTAGAGGTACAGTCACTGGCTGTAGAAAAGCTTTTCTCTTTGAAACTAAATGGCACATGTGGGGTTTGACCTTATGGACCTGACCTCATTAGCACCGCTAAGGAATAGACCATAGATAGTCTTAAAGATAAATAATGAGCATTTATATCGACCC